CCCCCCCCCCCCCCCTTTCCTGCAGAGAATGGCAGGAAGGGAGTCCAGGGCTCTGGAGGGAGAACCGACGGCTAGGGTATGGAATCTAGCTTTGATACCGTGTTGAAATTCAGAATAATGCGAAATATTTTTTTTGATTTGAAAAGGGGTATAAATAACATTTACATGAATCCTAAAATAAGAAAGACAATAAAAAGAAATAAGATGAAATGAAAGATATAACTCCTAAGATCTCCAATTAATCAATTCATATTAACTAATTAGAGATAAACATCTCGAATTAATCAATTCATATTAATTAATTAAATAGGAAAGAAAATAAAACAACATAAAATAGGAAAACCTAAAATAGGAAAGGAAATAAATATAATTAAAGAAAATAAATCTAAAATAGAAAAGAAAATAAAGTTATATTAGAAAATAAATCTAATCATCATAATTTCTAATATGAATAAATTATTTCCTAATATAATTTTTAACAGTATCTAATTCATCATGAATAATCTTTAAACTATGTAAACTACTTTACTTCAAAAGAATTGTTCGTCCACTCCAACAAATATTTTGCAGAATCTAATAAATATTCATTCTACGTCTCTCCATCTCCTCTTCTTTGAGATTATCAATAGCATAGTCATTCGCAAGCACACTACAATTTCTTCATTGCCCCTATATGCATCATAATCCATTACAACATATTTAGATTTATGTTCTGAAAAAACTATCAAATGCTTACTTCTAATTAAAATTATTATAAACTGCAATAAAGGACATGAAATATGTGAAATTAAAATAAGGCAAAAGAATAATGATATGTTTAAATCCTAGAAAAGTTTCTCCAGAATACTTAAAAACTTTACTAACATAAAAGCATGATCATAAAAAGCAATGCAACTAATCACCATGAATGCTTATATGTTGAAAATCCAAAAATATTCTAGCCATGGTTTGATTTTTAAGGTATTAAGTTGTATTATTTTTCCACGCCCCTTTGATTTCACATCTAATTATTCATTTGCATATTCCTCAAACGTTTATACTAACAATGTCATTGAAACTATTATTCACAGTGAATTTACATTCGCTATTGAAGGTGATGTCAAATATACCATATACCTCATAAAGTGAAAATCAACCTTAAATGTAATGATTCATGGATAACGCCATCCGAAACTCAAACTGCTATGCCTACGTTTATTGAAAAACTATTAGCTAAAGAATTCACCAGAACAATTTTTCCAAAGTAGGTAAATTTATGAGGATATAAAGTGTGAATGTTATTTTCTCATGGATACATAAGATAATTATGCCATTCACATTTCAATGATTTAAGGTTATTCTAGTCATGCCATTAAGTTTGTTAACATTAACTAGTAGTTCGACAAAAAATAGTGTAATAACTTCCTAGTAGTTTACTAGCAATTTATTAAAAAATAATTAATAATTTATTAGTAATTTTAGCCAGTTAATATATTATTCATTGATAATTTCTTATTTCTTTCACTTATAAATATGAGAATTCTTAGTCATGTAAGACACTTTACAGCATGAGTAAATTCTTAATATGAATGTGGATGTCTCTTCTTCATCTAGTATGGACTTGATCTTTAATTAGTAGTGAAAATTAAATTTTGAAAGGACATCATCTTGTACAAACATGAGGCTTGTTTTTTTGATAATTTTACTTTCCTTCTTTTAACACTTCATCCTCAATATATTATCTTATTAACTGAAAGTAAGATTACCACATCCAAATTTATGGTAAAAGCATGAATTTTAATTGTGCAAGTGCCTTTCATGATTCTTAATAGTTGGTGTTTATTTCTGATAAGAGTTTATACAGCTTCATCAAAATTGAATTTACTATTTTTTGCTAATATATGAGATAGTAAATGGCAGCTTTGGTTTTGTCTAAATCAAATTTTGTCTCTTTTAATATTTGCTACATTCCGTACATAATCTAATTTGAAATCCATAAAGACTAAGATGCCTTGATATGAATAAATTAATACTAGTTTTAAAATAGAGGAAGAAGTAAGAAAATCCTCAAAATTGATGAAGCACTACTAATGTAGTAAATCAAACTAATAAAAGCAACCCTTGTCAATAAATGAAGACAAATCTTCCGCAATGGTTTCAAGGTTGCAATTATGCCAAAATTTTGTCAATTCTAATTTTCAAACCTAATAAGTATAAAAAATAGAGAGAAACCTCTATCAAGCATCAACAGTTCAATTCGAGGAACCAATGGATCTAAACACAAATAAAAAGCAATAAAACAAGTTTTGCCATTTCCCTTCAAACAAAAAGAACAATCCCGAAACATGAATTCAACAATGTACAATATTGTTTTCACAGTTGTTAGCCAAAAAGGGCTTCTAATTATTAGCCATAATTTTGTAAAAAAAATTCCAGAAAATAGATTTAACGCCTCATATAACACTCAATAGAAATGAATAGAGGATAAGAATTCAAAATGCCAACTCTAGATAATGGGGATGAAGCTGTTGATGGTTATGATGATAAGTTTCTTATTATTTAAGCTTGATTTCAATGTTCATAGCATTGTCAAGTTTACCTTAAACCTGGAAAAAAAGTCCACATAAGGGGTAAAAAAACATCTCAGGTGTTCCACATAACAAGAAATAATAGGGTGGATTAACGTGCATCTACTAAAGTTCTCCTTGTTCAAATCAACCCAAAAAACAAAAATTAGAGCTATGATGTAATAAGTTTATCATATTGTAAATGAAAAATAAAAACAAAAAGGCAATTTGAAACATATTCAGATCACATAAGATAATAAAAGTAATTCTCCAAATCAAAAGTATTTGAAGAAATTATCCTTTACATCCTAAAAATACTAAAGCGTGAAACAATTACTCACACACTACTTACAAGAATCAGGAAATCATTGGTCTTGAGATTTTCACTGTCAATGTGACGATCCAGGCTATCTCCCCGATTAGGACTGCAAACTCATTATTCAAAAAGAAAAACAGATAAAATTAGATAGAGCTACTAGTCAATTAGAAGATTAGAACATGATTAATGGAATCACAGCAGGCCATAGCAAAGAAATATGGAGCTCTATCACAAAACCTCCGGCCAATTACAAAACGAAGAACCACACCCTTCTCCTCAAGCTTTTTCAAGGCATCACCTGCAGGTGGGCATCAAGTAGATTGTTTAATAATAAAAAAAGGTGCCCTCAAATGATAAATAAAATTAAGACATCAAACTAAATAATAAAATTTGCATAAATACTTTTAGAAGTTATATTAGAAAATAATTTATTCCTGTGAGAAATTATGAGAAAATTCAATGTGAACTAAGTGAAATAATATTTATGGATTTGACCCCATGACCCCATGACAGATTTCAATGTGAACTTCTGATTCACAATTTCAATATTGAAATCTTTCAATAGAAACTTGATGAGTCGATCCACGTACACGTCTTGCTTTTGTTGCTATAACAAGAGTTATTGCTTGACATAAAACAGATAGTGAATTTGTTTTTGTCTTTTGTTGAATATTTTTCACGACTCGATAGATTATTTGGTAAGGAAATGATTTTTTTTTCCATTTTTCAACGATTAACCAAACATGTTAACTAATCAATTACAAGAAATTGGATCGAATTTTGTTGTTTTTCCTCTTTTGTTAGAAGTTATATTAGAAAATAATTTATTCCTGTGAGAAATTATGAGGAATAAATTATTTTCTGATATTATGAGTTATTTTCTTTCCTATTTTATATTTATTTCCTTGGTTTAAAGTTATTTCATTTATTATTTTAGGTTTTCCAATTTTATGTTATTACTTCATATCCAAATAATTAATATAAATTAATTATTGGAGATATTAGATGATATATCTTTCCTTTCATATTATTTCTTTTTTATTATCTTTTCTATTCTAGGATTCATGTAAAGGATAATTTATATCCCCCTTCATTTCAATGAAAAAATTGCTCGTTTAATTTTATTTCATTTCACATTATTTTGAATTTCAATATGGTATAAGAGCCTTGAATAATCCTAGAGTCTCCTACTACTGGAAACTTCCTATTCCCTACAACCGGCAATTTTTGTCATGCTGCAGGCACTTTCTCTATCTCCTTTTTCCAATTTTTTATGCCGAAAACTTGCTCCTGCAAATGCTTCTCTCTTCCCTCTTTTGCCTCTGTGTCAAAGCACTACCCTTTTCTCTCTTCTGCCTCGTCGATGTCAGTTAACGGGTGATCACAGAGATGTCTTCATTGGCAACTAGAAATCTACATGCTGAGAAGGTTCGACGCATCTTCGAGAGATTCGCCTTTAATGTTGACGAAGTATTGAATCGCAAAGAGGAGTTTTTTTCTCGCTCATGGGCTGTCTAGGCAAGCAAAAACTAGTGGGAGCGACTTTTTCCCCAGATCCATGTGAACCTCAGAATCTAGCTCGAGGGAGAGGGTAAGGTGATGAACGCCCATGAGCATTTCGTGAGGCCATTATTCTCTTCCCCACTCATTTCCGTGCCATGAAACTACTTAAAAGCATGCTCTTTGGTGCGGGCGAGTATGGTGCTGCTAAGAAGGCTCTTAAAGAGGCTTTCTTTCTGCATCCCGACCATGTTGATATCTACTGCAAACTAGGCTCCGCTCTGCATTCGATGGGTAAGGACGAGGGAGCAATTCAAGAATTTTAGAAGGTTTTTGATCTCAAACCCAGCCATGTAGAAGCGGAGTATATAACCTTAAGGGCCTATTAATGAATGTTGGGAGGTTTGCAAGGGCAGCGGAGATGTAAACTAGGTTTTTGGTTGTTCGACCCAATAGTTGGGGGGCTCAGCTCAACAGGGTTGTAGCTTTTTTGGGTGCCAACGAAAATAAGGAGGCATTCAAGATGACCAAGAGGATGAAAGTTTATGATGCAATTGCTCAACTTAAGATGCTTCATAAGAAGAAGAAGCACAAAAAAGGTAGTGGTGTTGTTGATGGAGAGGGGGAGTTTCTCATGGTGAAACCTTCAAAATTCAAGAGAATTGGAAGGAAAACAAGTTTGAGGCGAACTCTTGCAAATGCTTTGGAGATCAAAATTTCCAAGAGGCTCACTAGAAAGGCAGGCTTAGAGAAGATCCTACAAAATTTGCTTCAGTTTCTCAAGGCAGAAATATTTCAAGTATCTGTAAAGGCAGTCAATGAGAAGATTTTGTCAATCATGGATGCTTCAGGTCGAGTGGATTTGGGTATGTTCTTTGTAGTCCTTGCTCCCATGTCCAACTAATAGGAGGAAAAGGGTAGTCTTTGAGGCCCTCTTATGGCGACAGACCAATGAAGGCAGCGGGACACTAATCAGAAGAATTCATGTCATATCAAGTTGTTTCATGCAACAGACCCTTCTTCGTAGCCTGTTCCTGCGTCAGACCTTTATTTGGAGATTTTTTTTCCTACAACAGACCCATTCTCTGAAACTCTTCTTCCTGCATCAGGCCCTTCGGAAAATTTGATGCAGCAGATCTTTCCTCTAGAAGTTTTTTCTAGCATCAGATCCTCCTCTGGAATCTTTCACACAATAGATCCTCCTTCGAAACTTCTCCCTGCAGCAGTCTGGCTTCCTGGTTTCCAGTAGTCCAGCTTCCCTTATTTTCTGCAGGTCCCTACTGCTAGAGGTGAAGTTTTTTTTCTTGGAGGTCCTTCCTATTGTTTTTTGGTGCATGTTCCCTATAGCAGTCTGGCCTCCTAGCTTATAGCAGTCCGACTTCCCTGATTTCCTCCAGTTGTCCAGATTTCTAGCAGTTTGGCTTCCTGATTTACAGCAAGCTGGCTTCCTGATTTCCAACAATCTAACTTGATTTCCTACAGCCTTACAACAACAGTCTTCTCTTACCACTGCTCGCATCCCAGCTGATGCTAGGCTTCTCGAGGAAGATACGCATGTCGGCCATTTTAATTTTAAAACTTTAAACTTTAATGATTTTTGAAAAAATGAGATAAGTTTTATAAATATGAAAATAGTTTTAATATAAATTTAATTTTTGAATGCAACATTTTAATTTAAAAATAGATGAGACCAAGCGAGTCTCACATTTTAGATAGTTTAGGTGACTAAGCACGATACCACAAATAATACACTTAACCCAAAGAATAAACATATCATTTATAGTAAGCTCAATCACATAAACTAAAGAATTTGTGACATCTGTTTGGTTTACGAAATATTTTTTATGAGGCCAACAAGTTCCTCTACATAATATAAGGATTAGATATGATTTATTTTACATGGGTTCCAAGTTCGTTATAGAGGTAAAACACTATAGTTAATTTTATCTCAAATGACCGGGATCATTCAAGAAAACTTTCGATTAAGATCAGTGATTTTATCTTCAAGATTTAAAAGTTTAGGTTTCCAAAATTGGACATGAGAAAATCAAATGGGAGTGGCTCAAAATAAGAACAGTTATTTGAAGGAATCCAAAAGAATGAAGTGTAGAGGACATCACACATCCAGGGGAAACCTCGATGACATCTCAACTATCTTATTGTTTGGTCTTATATCTTTGAAATGATGTTATTTAATGTTTAATCCTGCAATTTATTTAGAATTTAGGACTTATATTCGCACGATATTCGATCGTGCAAATGACCTAAAAATATAGGAGGATTTACACTGTATTGTACGGCAACCTCGGAATCCTAAAGTGTTAGGACTTATAATTGCACAACAGGGTTGTGCAAAAGCCTAAAGATGATACGTGAGGGTTTATGCTGCGCTAGGCAAACTACATCGAAATCCTATGAGTTGTTGTTTAAACTAAAGAAAGTGATCGATGATGTGAATATATTTTGATGTTGCAGATCCATCTTGAAGTGGCTCCTCTGTATGTCCCAGTCATGCTGCCCATGGTGTTTGATCCAAGTTTTTCGTCGTAGCAACTTCAGGTTTGTCATTAATCCTATGTAATCACTAAGTTTTCCTACAATAAGACATAGTGTGTATCAAAGCAATAAAACATGCAGTATAAAAGAAGAGAATAGTATAACATTCTAGGAGAACAATATAACATGCTAGGAGAACATTATAACATGTTATGAAATAAAATGTTGTAATGTAAGTCAAACTTGTATATTTGGGAGACCTGCTGCTCTTTTAAGCTAGCTATTATTCACTGCATAAACAAAAGAAACATTGCCTGGAAAACTCAAGAAAATCGACAAATAATCCACGAAGGAAAACTCAAAAAAATTGGCGAGTAACAATTCAAATAAAACTATCAAGACCTCGGGAAAATCTCGTAGAAAAGACCATGAATGTTTTGTCCAAAAATTTGTGTGTGTGTGTGTGTGTGTGTGTGTGTGTGTGTGTGTGTGTCTGTATATATTTGTACTCGAGGGTCGTTGAAAACTACTATAGGTCACCCGGATGTATAAAGCCCGCCACTCCATCAAAATTCTACTTCTTCATGTTTACTAAACCTAACTTAGGAGGGTACTCCTTAGCCAGTATCGGTAATCAACAAGTGGACAACCCAGTTGTAACTCATTTTAAATTTAAAATTTAATTAAAATTTAAATTTTAGCATGCACATATATTTCAAGCATACAAAAGAAAAATTATACTAATTTTGTAGTGAAAATATTTTTTTTATAAATATTGTATCTGTTATTATCAATTTGTTTTATCAATTTTTGAAAAAGGAATAGTTGTCCATGAGTCGATCACATCATCGGACGTAGGACCGCCAACAACCTAAGATGGTACGGGTTCCCCGCTAGTCTTATGTCGGTGAATGATAATTTCATCCTACAGTTCATCATGTCCTAGAATTGAGTCATGATGTTGTATGATGAGATATCATTATGCTCCACCACCAGCGTGTCTTTGTCATCATCGCCCTAAGCCCCAAAATAAAACCGACATACTTGCTACCTTGCTTGATGATTTCATATATATCAAAAGACTATATATGAGCACTTATATATCAGACAAACACAGAAAGCTGAACCAAGAAGCAAGAAAAAAAAAATAAAAATAAGGATGAAAGAGAGGAGGAAGTAATTCACCCAAAAGATCGAAACACTAAATGGTGGAGCAACCCTCAAAACTATGACAAAAAGATTTGAAAAAAAAGGGCCCAAGATCCTTGAATCAATCCAGAGGATATCATCTTCTCAAAGTTT